CATCCTGTCAGTTTCCTCAGCAGAAAATTACTCCCACGTGAATGTAAATACAGCATAATGGAGCGGGAGTTGTTAGCATTAACATGGGGGATTAAGAAGTTGGAACACTTCTTGTATTCATGTAAGTTCATTGTTTGGACTGATCACCTGAATCTCAAGTATCTCAAATCTGCAACCACCAATGCTCGTATTGCTAGATGGATATTATACCTTATGGACTTTGACTTTGAAATTCAGCACATAAAAGGTACAGACAACTTTTGGGCTAACCCATTGTCTAGGCTGACAGTTTGAACTCACATTATTGTCTCTGTCAGAAGCATATTTCGTGTTGTAACGTTTCAGACAGTGCACGTCTCAGCAATCCAGTATGTACGTTCAACTTTTTCAACTATGATCGTCTCGTCAGAGAAGCTACTACTATTACTACTACTATTACTATTATTATTATTATTGCTAAATGACATGGACTGAACTGTTCATCTCTTTGTGTTTTAATTGCACTCTACACAAGAAGCGTCGTCTCATCCAGTATTGAGAAACATCGGAAGTCAAGTCTTAAGCTCGATATTTACAAACAATAAACAGTACAATGTAACCTGAAGTCACAAAGGAAGGAACTGGGACAAGTGGAACAGATGAAGATTAGTTTAGTTATATTATTAGCTTAATTATTTCATATGCATTATTATTGATAAACTTGTTTTGTTTGGTAATGGAAAGATAATTCATGTATATTATTAATGTTGATGAATGGAAACAGAGAGTATTCATTATTTCATACTTAAACTCATGGGTGTAGTTTGTTGAATTGCAATTAATTACTTATGTAAACATAGTAAGATGTACTGTGTATTTTTTAAGTAGTATTTTTTTTTAACCATGTTGTACTTCAATAATCAATGTCATTAATTAATTTTTTTTAGTGTACATAATATATACTTGGATTTTCAGGGAAAATCTAGGGGAAGTAAGGGGGAGATGTCAAGAGCGGTGGTGTGTAAGATGTGAGATTGTGTGTGTTTGTTTATTTTGTTGGTTGGTGTGTGAATTGTTTTATCACGGGATTTTCAAGGGGGGGACAATTAGGTTTCTAGCGGTCAGTCTAGCAGTTGGAGAGCTGACCTGGTCTGAGTAGGGTGCTTGTGTTTTGTTTACCAGTTTTATGCCTAGCGCAAGGAGATAATATAACTTATATTTCTATTCATTGTTGTGTATGAGAACTGACTATTTGTGAGTAATATTATGTATGGCATTGATAGCCTTTTGTTAAATGAATCTAGTCTAAGCACCCTGTAGTATGTCAGTTGGGCACATTTTAGTATTTCAGTATTGATGATCTACGCATTCAATATTATATGTGTACTTGCTGTTGGCTGTAAATAAATACTAATTTTATACTCCTTCGTTGAGTGATACTTTGTAATAGTTACACATGTTAAGGTCTGCATGTGGGAATCATACCCTAGATTATCGAGCCATATGTATGTAGTAAAGGACTCAACCCCAGAGTCCCCTTACACCCATAAGCAGTGTATTATTATGGAATCAGATTGGGGCGACTACTTACAATTCGGAATGATACCCCACATTATTTTGGTGCACTTGTTGACCCATTTTATAGATCGGTTTCACGAATCCAATTGAATAGTGAACACTTAATACATAATAAGCTGAAAGAAATTTACACGGCCCTAAAAGAGAACTTGGGTCTCAGAATCAAATGGGGAAAGGAAAGAGGTATAACAGAGTTTACGGATTCCTTTATAAACCTTCATAAATAAGCACATTGCGCCCAAGGTTGGGGAAACAACCTATAGGCTTATTTTTGGCAGGACATCTATTTGGGTGCTAGAAGGTCAATATTGTAGAAATCTGTTGTAAATGTAAACTATGTACCATGTCACTGGAAGTGGATGAGAAACTTTTGTTTCTAGATTGTCCGTTGTTTTCTAATGTGTAAAATACTGTTAAAAGTCTGTTAGATGCTAATTGTGACTCAGATGTGGATGTCAATCTGGCGATCCTTTTAAACAAGGTTCCCAAATTACGTAATAAAGCTCTTGGGATTTTAATCTCATTATTTTGACAGAGTATAGGAAACTTGTTTACTGAAAATTGTTATAAATAATAAAAAGTTCCTACCTGATGGCCCTGAGATTATATTTAGACAAATTGTAGACTTTGTATGTTAGCGTGTGAGTGGATAGGTAGTTTTTGGGATACATGTAGGTATATTTTTAGTATTACAGTAGTGTTTTTCACATTGCAAATGTATTTGACATGGAATTATCTACATAAAATAAAGGTTTGGCTTGTATTGTGAGGTATTTCTATGTGTTCTTGAGTAGTTACTTAAGATGTTGGACTGCGCCCTCAGAAGTCGTCGACACCTTGTTTTGTAGCCCTTTTGGTTATGCACTAAATAATTGTGTGTATATATTATATATGTGTTTATGTGGGTGCGGACATGTAAGTATTGGTGTGTATTTAATTTTATTCTTGGTTAGTTCCCCTTTAGATGTTAATTTGCTAATCCTTGTATCATTTTTCCGTCTCTGATGGTTTCAATATTTATTAAGCATATCTTTGCTTTAAAATGAAAAAAAAATTATTATTATTATTATTATAATTTTGTAAGGTAAGGGTTTGACCAAATGAAGGCGTTACATGGTAAAGAATGTTTTTTTTTTTTTACATTGCTTTGGTGTGAGATTTATAATCCAGGTTGGAGGCGCTAAAACAGAAGTCGAAAACCGTCGAAACACTTCCACTTTTAAAAATTTAGTTTTTGGCGTCACATGACCTTTAACCCTGTTTTTTTGTGTGTGTTCAGTAATCGGTTTCCTCAGTACGTACTCAGTAGTCATGACTACTCAAGAATCGTGTGTAAGTAGATTTAGATCTCTAAGACCTTAGATCGATAAGACCTTTCTTTATTAGCTGTTTTCACGATATGTTAAAAAACACATTAAAGATGGGGTGGTCTAGTGATTAAACACTTAGTTACTATGCCAAAAGTCGTAGTACGAGTCTCAGTAGAGAAGCATAAAAAAGAATTCCATTGTTTTTTAATTTAACATTCAGTTATGAACAGAACAACAATCGCTCAATAAGTTGTATAAAAATGTATTTGTCTTTCTAAACACAAGGACTGTAGAGTATTATCTTATAAATTACAGACGTTACTTCCGAAGATAATTACGTCCTACGATAGCCTTGGTTTGATAAATATTTTCTTAGCATTAGGAACCTATAGAAAGACAACAGAGATTTAGAGATGCGAGGAAGCGTGGTCGAGAGGCTAAGTGCGCTTGAACTTGGCTTGTCTTGGCTACCTAGAAAGGGCTCAACACCCGACTCGGACAGAGTTGCGTTTACTGAGCGCCTAAAGGCAGCATGGAAAACCCATTCCTAGTTACCCCCTCCATAAATGAGATTGGACCAAAGCGCTCTGGGCATGCTATAAGCATGAAAGTAGCGCTATATAAAAGCTATAATAAAATCACGAAGCGGCTACAAGGTAGCCACATTTTGTCAATTACATCTACATCTACAAAAAAGAAATGCTCTTGCACCTTAGTGAACTGATATGGCCTTGCGCTCCATGAACTTAACGCTTCTAGTGATGCCAGGTTTCTCTCGCAGATAGACAGACAGACAGAACTCAATTCCCCTTAATCTCAGACAACATGCTTCACTACATTCAAGAAAAACATTAAAACCCATCTGTTCCAAAAGTTTTTAGATTTGTCATTTTAGCTGTCGCGATTATTTTTGTAATGTTATCACATCGCCTTGAGCCTACACAGTGTTTGTTAACAGCGCTTTATAAATTACATTTGTTATGATTATTACACTATACTATTCTCTCAGGTTTAAGAAAATGCCACTGTTCATAATGAACAAGCAGTTTAAGTAGAAACTTTAGTTATGCCAGCATCAGAATTTATGTCCTCTGTTTGGGACCCCCTCAACTCTATAAAATATTATTTTTAATTAATTACTATAGCTTATATATAGCTCTACTTTCATGCTTATAGCATGCTCAGAGCGCTTTTGGTCCTATCTCATTTGTGGACCAGTGGGGGGGGGGGGTATCTAGGGGAGGGGTATCTAGGAGTTGGTTTTCGTGCTGCCTTTACGAGTTGGGTGTCGAACATCGAGCCCCCTTCTAGGTAGCCAAGCCAAGCCAAGTTCAAGCGTACTTGACCTCTCGATTACTCTCCCCACAAATATACAGAAACTAAAACTCAAAATAGAGCCGTGAGATTTATAACAAATGAATATTCACATTTGATTAGAGCAACCTCATTACTAAAGTAACTAAACCTAGATTTTTTAATGAATGGTTTTGTAAGGGGCCAATCTCTCATTCAAGGTCTCAAGAAGGACAATCTTCCGTTTGATTGCATGCCTACACTCCAGTCTACGAGAGTGCATTCCCATTGTAGAGCATAGAGCAGTGTTTTCCAAGCTGTTCCTAGGAACCCTAGTGTTCCAAGGCCTGGATAGGTGTTCCGCTAACTACAGAAATGATGAACTAGTAGGCCACCTGTATTAACCTCTCAAAAATATATACCAAATGTTCTGATAAACGCTTTGAACGCTGTAGCATCCATCTAGAAATGTTGTTCTAAATTATATTAGACTTACGTACATACTAAATGCATTCTTTCTATTTTAAAACAACAAAAATAAACATTTTATCTGCAAGTAGTTGTATAACAGCAAACACTTAATTTAGTAACATAATTATTTTTAGAATATTATTATAGAAAAAAAAATATTATTACCATATCACGATTCTGAAAAGTTATCTCTTATTACAGTTGTCTCCCCTTGTTATTTTTTTTTTGTCTTTACTAGTAAACACTCCATTGTAATAATGGTGCATTTTTTAAAATGAAAAATACAAAAACAACAACCATACTTGCATACAATTGATAGCGCTTATTCCCCTTTTGGTAGCCAATTAAATAAAACAAAACCTTATCAGTATAAATAGAGGCAGTACAATTTTTTTATTGTGTCAGAGTTAGATCAAAGATTTAAATCGATTAAAAAAACAAAATCATGTCTAACAAGATGTTTTGATATAATTTAAGAAAAGCAGGTCTTATAGCCCATCAACTAAAATCTTTCAGTTATTAGGGTTCTGTTGGTGCTCAATTGGGTTGTTGATGTTTCTGTTGTTAGGGTTCTGTTGGTGCTCAATTGGGTTGTTGATGTTTCTGTTGTTGGGATTTTGTTGGTGCTCAGTTGGGTTGTTGACATTTCTGTTGTTGGGATTTTGTTGGTGCTCAATTGGGTTGTTGATGTTTCTGTTGTTAGGGTTCTGTTGGTGTTCAGTTGGGTTGTTGATGTTTCTGTTGTTAGGGTTCTGTTGATGTTCAATTGGGTTGTTGATGTTTCTGTTGTTAGGGTTCTGTTGATGTTCAATCGGGTTGTTGACATTTCTGTTGTTGGGGTTTTGTTGGTGCTCAATCGGGTTATTGATGTTTCTGTTGTTGGGGTTCTGTTGGTGCTCAGTTGGGTTGTTGACATTTCTGTTGTTGGGGTTCTGTTGGTGCTCAATTGGGTTGTTGACATTTCTGTTGTTGGGGTTCTGTTGGTGTTCAGTTGGGTTGTTGATGTTTCTGTTGTTGGGGTTCTGTTGGTGCTCAATTGGGTTGTTGACATTTCTGTTGTTGGGGTTCTGTTGGTGTTCAGTTGGGTTGTTGACATTTCTGTTGTTGGGGTTTTGTTGGTGCTCAATCGGGTTATTGATGTTTCTGTTGTTGGGGTTCTGTTGGTGCTCAGTTGGGTTGTTGATGTTTCTGTTGTTGGGGTTCTGTTGGTGCTCAATTGGGTTGTTGATGTTTCTGTTGTTAGGGTTCTGTTGGTGCTCAATTGGGTTGTTGATGTTTCTGTTGTTAGGGTTCTGTTGATGTTCAATCGGGTTGTTGACATTTCTGTTGTTGGGGTTTTGTTGGTGCTCAATTGGGTTATTGATGTTTCTGTTGTTGGGGTTCTGTTGGTGCTCAGTTGGGTTGTTGATGTTTCTGTTGTTGGGGTTCTGTTGGTGCTCAATTGGGTTGTTGACATTTCTGTTGTTAGGGTTCTGTTGGTGTTCAGTTGGGTTGTTGATGTTTCTGTTGTTGGGGTTCTGTTGGTGCTCAATTGGGTTGTTGACATTTCTGTTGTTGGGGTTCTGTTGGTGTTCAGTTGGGTTGTTGACATTTCTGTTGTTGGGGTTCTGTTGGTGCTCAATTGGGTTGTTGACATTTCTGTTGTTGGGGTTCTGTTGGTGCTCAATTGGGTTGTTGATGTTTCTGTTGTTAGGGTTCTGTTGGTGCTCAATTGGGTTGTTGATGTTTCTGTTGTTGGGATTTTGTTGGTGCTCAGTTGGGTTGTTGATGTTTCTGTTGTTAGGGTTCTGTTGATGTTCAATTGGGTTGTTGATGTTTCTGTTGTTAGGGTTCTGTTGATGTTCAATCGGGTTGTTGATGTTTCTGTTGTTGGGGTTCTGTTGATGTTCAATAGGGTTGTTGACGTTTCTGTTGTTGGGGTTCTGTTGATGCTCAGTCGGGTTGTTGTTTAATGCGGCACCTGTAAAATAGTAATTGAATAAAAGGAAAATAATTTTTTAAAAAAAGGAATTTTTTTCTTAGATTTACATTTATAAGTACTAAGCATAATTTTGTCGTTCTTTTTCTACCACGCAAAGTCCTATTGTTTTATCTATCAATCTATCTATCTATCTATCTATCTATCTATCTATCTATCTATCTATCTATCTATCTATCTATCTATCTATCTATCTATCTATCTATCTTTCTTTCTTTCTGTTTTTCTGTCTTACTAACAATTTAAAAAAATGGTCTATACTTAGTGTTAGGGAACCAGCACACATTTACATGAAGCGACTTTTCAACTTTCTATGGTTATGAGTGACTACTGCTTAGAATGAGTGACTAGAGTAAGTGAACGGAGAAAGGAGAAGACATCTTCCTGTGACTAAGTACGACACTGTCTCCTTACTAGTTTGTGTCAATAAAAGTGTGTACTTGAACTCAAGCTTATCCTCCAGTGGTGTTCTCATTAGGATTATATTCATTTGTGAACACTTCCAACTGAACAGAAAGAGAACAGAAAGAGCTCCTTGGTCAAAGTAGAGAGAGAGTGTTAGAATGTCATACAACATTTTATCCCTGACAGTTTTATATAATAATTAAACTTATAAATTGTAGAAATCAAAGCCATTCCCCCCCCCCCCCAATATTTATTGCATCTTTCATGCTTATAACATGCTCAGTTCGCTGTGGTCCAATCTCTTTCGTGGACCAGTTGTGAGGCGGGGGGGGGGGGAGGGGTTATTTGGGAGAAGGTTTCCGTGCTATCTTTAGGCGCTTAGCAGACACGCCTCTGCTCGATTCGGAATTCGAACTTGACCTCCTTAGTAAGCGTGTACTTTCAAGCAGACGTGGCCATATACGAGTGGCCTTAGGGATAGCGAGTGGCGCGATAAAGAGAATCTTTTGTCACTATCCGCCCATTGTACAAATATTCGTTGCCCTATTATGATACTCGCCCAAGGATTCACGCACTGCCGAGGACGCCTCTGCTTTCAAAGCCCAAAATTTTGAGCAGTTTTCGGCATTGGCAGATGTTGATGTCATAATTTGTAGTTACGCAAATCTTATTTTTTAGGTTGCTAAAGCATTCGTAGCCATAGATTAATCGGCCCGAATATCTTTTTAAAAAAAAAATTGTTGAATTCTTATGAGTAAATATCTTTTCAAACAGTAATGTTTCTTAATGCCACAATGTCTTATAAGGTCGTAATGCTGTGGTCACAATATCTTTAAATATCGCAATACTGATGTCGCAATATCTTTGAATGTTGTCATTCTGATGTCGCAATATTTTTTATGTCGTAATACTGATGTCGCAAACTAAACAGTGTGACTTACCCTTTACTTGTTTATTACAATATTTTTTTTTTCAGTATAACTTTTTACTTGACGAATATTATGCTATGAGACATCCCCCAGCAAACTCTACGTTTCGTTCGACGAATGACCGCTGGTTTGTGTACATAACTTTCATTGCTCCATACTGGTAGCATTACTATACATTAATTTAAAAACACTTCATTGACTTCTTTTCCTCGGGCATTAAACAGTCCAAAAAATTTAAAAAAAAAAATAACAAAAATGTATATGAAACGAACTTGTATCAAGTAGTTTGGATCAGTCATGTAATTAAATTTGTAATAGATCTAGACTAACTAAACATATAGTTATAAATAAAAAAAGGGGGAACGACCTGAAATCGAACTCTTGGCTCCATCCATCTCAGGCTTCTCAAGCCAACACGGTAACCACTCTGCTAGTGGAGAGCTTATGAATATGGAAGATTGTATAGTTATCTATTGATCTACATTCTCGTTACGCACTCTTGTCAGCCAATTCATATTCGATTATTTAAAAATAGTAAGATCTTATCTTATATAATACAGACGTTACTTCAAAAAAGATGATTACGTCCTACGCGTCATGCATTCAGTCATGCATATTAACCAATGACTTAAATTCTGCCAAGTCACTGGTTTTCCTGGCTAGCTCAGGCAACCCATTCCATGCTCTAATAGCACTAGGGAAGAAGGAGTATTTGTACAAATTTGTCCTAGCATATGGGATAAGGAATGTGCCTTTATCTTTGTATCTTTGTGTCTTTCAGAGTATTTTATTAAATTTTAAGATTTGTTGAAAAACTTTGCAAACAGATGTAATCAAAATATTTATAATAAAAAAAAAAACAACTCCTGTAAACATTGATTATAAAGGACTATAATCCCCCACCTCGGGATTTCACAGGGAAAAAAATTGTTATTAGATGATTGGAAATGCGTCTATCTTATGTTAGTTACTAAAGTTATTGGTCTTTAAACATAACCTTGCTTTTTTAACTAGTAATATTATGAAGTTATTAATTATATTACCTCAAAGTTACAAAAAAAAAATGCTTTCTTATCTAAAAAAAAAGAGAGAAATATTAACTAGAAAGGAATACTTGAACTATTAATTACATCAGATATTCAACACATGGATCCAAAGTTTATCAACAGACAACCAAGTCCGGAGACTAATCTTCACAAGACAGATCAAGTTTAGTTTGTTTTCTTTAATCTTGAACTTTCTACTATTGATGTAGATTCACTATTTTAATTACTAATTAAGTATGGATTAATCATATTTCAAATTTAATTTTAATTCTTTATACTTTAATATTTGTGAAATGTGAGAACTTGTAATAAAAAAAAAAGCCCACAAAGGAGCCAAGAGGGCCCTAAAAAAAGAGGCATAGAAAGCCCAAAAAAGAGGCAAAGAAAAGATGCCTTAGGCCCATCCTATGATGACAAGGCTAAAATAAAATAGCGAAAGTGCTGAGGTTTCCTTTAAAAAAAAAACCTTAATCGTTTTTGAGAACATGAAATTCATTGTTTTGTTTTGTATGTTTTTGGAATGTAAAAGTCTACTGATTAAAAAAAATGAAAGTCATAACACAGAAGATCAGAAATATTAAATATGTAGATTATTCTAACTTTAGATTTCAGTATATGACTGTACCACTGTGATACATTTTTTTTAACCAATTTCATTCAATAACCTGTCTTCTATAAAGTTATTCCTCATAAAAAATACACGGTAAAGTGTGGGGACCACATATTGGACAAGGCCTCAAGATCACCTACCGTAGACGGAGGCCACAGTCACAAAGAGAATCAAAATCTTCATCTTGATGTCTTGAACTTTAGAAAACTTTTAAATCGCAAGTAAGATTGAAGTTACGTGAAGTAACAAGCGCCTTTATAGTCAGGCCATAGATAGCAGAACAGTGAAGACTCTAATCTAGACATGTAATTTCAGCACGAAGAGATTTAATCACGATCGAAACATGACCATTTCGCACGTACTATTAGCGATATAGCATCTAACTAAAATAGGTCTAGAAATACTTGTTTCATATAATTTAATTACATTTTTTAGTCTTTTTTTTATGTGAGAGCTACATTGCCCATCTTTCTTGCATCTAACATATATCTAGTTTATAGCAATCTTGGGGTCAAAGGTTTAAAGGCAAGGGTTCAAGTTTAGATTTGAGTTTTCTTTCACATTTCTTCATGTATATATAATGAAATAAAACACTTAAAGGCT